TGAAATAAATCTTAAGTATTATTGTCGCATTATGTACTCAGTGCGGTCATAGTTATGTCATATTATAACTATTACTCCTTGAAATAAATAATTACAGTATTAATTTTTTTTTCTTGTGCATGGTAAACCCATCATAAGAAATTTTATATATTAAAAAATTATTAAGTTTTTGTTGCTTAAGCATATTCTGCCTTGGAAGAGTGACCGTACTGTAAAGGCTCAAAATGTATCATTTTGTTCAATCTCTTTTCTTCTTTTTGTTTTCTCTCTCTTTTCTTGTGTTTCCTTCTCTTTTCTCAATTCTCCACCTCCTCATATTAATACATACTGACGTGGAGGGAAAAAAAATTAATTTTAATATTATAATTACGTATTCTTTAAAATATATAATTATAACATAACCTTCACACTAAATATTTAGTGCGACGATAATCTATGATACACGGATACTGGCACGGGATATGACACGACACGACACGTCGATACGTTAATTCTAAAAAATGACATATTTTGACACGTTGGGACACGTTTTGATATTAAATAATATTTTTAATATATATAATATAATTTATATTTAATACATATAATAGTCCATAACAAGTCATATAACCAATCAAATATTCAAATTTCATAACATAAATATAAAAAAAAAATAAAAAATTGTACCTTGTTAATTTTTCAAATCAAATTTCATAACAGAAAAAAATTGATTTATAAATATTAAAATTAAGACTAAAAAAAAAGTGTCGGAGCGTGTCAGAGCATTGATTACGTGTCAAAAAAAAATGACTGCGTGTCAGAAAAATATGTCGAAACGTGCCGAAGAATTGACCACGTGTCCCAAAATATTGATCGCGTGTCGAAAAATGTTAAATACCAACACATGTCCGACACCAACAAGTGTCCGACATGCACATTTTAAAAAAAAAAGGGACACATATTTAAAAAAAAAAAGTGTGTCGAGATATTGCAGACGATAATACTAAAAATTTATAGCAAAAAGTGATGCTAATAGAATGATAACTTTTTCTGACATTGTTTTATTAATTCATAATATAAAGTTTTTATATTTACTCTCATGCGAGCACAACAATTTTTTTTTTTCTTCTCTTTTGGAAGTTGAAATACTTTTGAGTTAGTTATAACTGAATTTGCAAATAATGTCCAAAACATAATAAGTCAAAGGGCCCTGTTTAAAGTCATAATTCCCAAAAAATATGATAGAAAAATAAATTTTCTAGAAATATTATTAAAAAGTTATTTGGTAAACCAAAATATTCACAGGAATATTGAGTTAATTTTATTAATATTATATTCAATTTATTGTAAAATATTATTGAAAATATGGATTGAGGTTAATTATGTCACAAAAAATTGTCAAATATTCTCATCATATCATATAAGATTCTCAAAATAGCACCAATTTAGTAGTATTTTAAGATATAATTTTTCTTCATAAATATGAATCTCGGGAATCCGATATTTTTGGGAAAAAATTTACAATCCTGTATTAAAAGTGGATAAATCGAATTCCCAATCTCACTATTTTAGGATTTCAAAATTTGTCCTTCTATCAAACACCCCTGATTGTAAGATTACGTTGTCACTATGAATGTGTGAGACGTGCCAGTTAGAGGTGTAAATAGGCTAGGCCCGTGTAAAAAATATTGGATCTGGCCTGGCCTGTTAGCCTGTGTAGGCCCCAATTACAAGTCTGGCCTGACCTATATTTAAAAAATTAAAGTTTTGGTCTAGGCCCGTTAAACATTCAACAATTAAAAGAATAACTAAAATAATATTACTTTATTATTCAAAATTACTAAAATAATAATTTTATTTATTTTATTTAAAATAAATAATAAGATATAGGCCGACCTATAGGCTTATAGTCCGATATGTACAAAAAAGCCTATGACCTGTTTTCTAAATAGATTTTCTTAAAAGCCGGAGCCTATTCTATTTTATTATTTGTAATAGGCCAAACCTGACTTAATATAGGTGAGACCGTAAGCCTTTGTAGATCGATCTAGCTATTCACACTCCTAGTGCCAATGATAATATTGTCTCTTCGAAGGGGGAAAATTGAAGAAAAAAATAAAAAATAAAAAATAAATTCGGTCATAAATCATAATAATAAGTAGGCCCAGTAGAAGTCCAAACAACAGCTGCACTTAAACCGTTATGAAGTACTAAGGGGGTGTATTGGATTGAGATTTCAAAAGATTTTAATGGATTGTTTTTGGACAAAAAAATCTGTTGGTATTCGATTAAGATTTTGATGGATTGAAAAAAAGTCACATGGTATTCGATTAGGATTTTAAAGGATTATTTTAGAATTCGTTGAAATCCGTTGGTATTCAATCAGGATTTTAAACAATGGAATCACAATCTCGTGGTATTCAAAAATCCGACGATTTTAATGGATTTTTTACTGGTATGGAATTCGTGAGACTTTTTAGTGAAAAATATAAATAGGATGTCTCTCTCACAATCTCACCCTAACCCCTAGGATTTCTTGAGATTCTTCTATTGCAGAGTTTTCTTCTTCCTTTGGCAGGTTGACTGCTCGAAATTGGGTTCAGCCATGGGAGCTTCATCAAATCTATAAAAATAAAAATATTTTTGAGCGATTTTCATCACAAAATAACCCAGAGACAACAAACCAACGAGATTTAAATATAATCTATCTAAAAAATAACATATTTTTGAGAAATTTTAGAAGTTTTAAAAGTGATTTTTCAAGCTATGGGTCACGATTTTTCTTAGCAACAAAACGTGTGATTTTTGTATTAAAAACAACATAAAATAGTGAAAAAATAACAGGGGAACTAAAACCCTCAAATCAATTTTTGTTTTACATCAATTAAACAATATCAATTTAAAGAAAGATTGAAACTTTCATAATGTGAACCTTATATTTCGTAACAATACATTCATGAACGAAATTCTTTCACTATAGGAAGCGATTTCAAACAATTTTTGTGTCAATAGATAACTAAAAACTTGTTTTTCAAAAGCCCCAAGCAATTTAAGGTTTCAATGTATCGATTGAAAAAATTTTGAGAAATTTTCTAAACTTTCATATAATTAAACCCAAAATTTCAGATTCCAAATTTTCTTAGAATATTCAATGAAAATATGCATATGATATATAGTTAGAAAACTCTTATCGCGTAAAACAAAAACCCCAAGATTTTGAAGATCAATTGCAAAAAATTCCAAACGAAATTTTATCACGAACTTTAGGTTCTATATGCAAATTTAGAATTATTTTTATAATTAAAAAAAATTGGGTCTTATAATATATATGCATAGCTTTGATATCAAATGAAGAAGATAATTTTCAACCCATTAGATATGTGAAAAGTTGTAGTAATTTTATTAATTTTCGTTTTACATCAAACTCATTAATTAATATTTAATTTGGAAGTTAACTGTTGATATATGGTTATTATTTTCGCAAATCAAACTCAAATTCATTGAGAAAATTATATTAGATTTTATTGATACGTGGAGAGTTGTTGCTTAGTAATTTTTGAGATAATTTTCAACCCGTTGTTAAGTTTACTTTTTTTATTAATATCATTGCATTTCTTTGTTATTTGTTTTTATTGACTCTTGTAATTTTGAATATTTGTTAAAAATTCATATAGTTTTTTAAAATCTTATAAATTCATATTATCTTTTCAAATCTTATGAATTCTATTAAAATCCAATCCTATGAAATCTTGATTTTAAAAAAAGTCTTTTAAAAAAGTCTATAAAGTCTCTTCAATTCTAAAATGTCTTTTAAAATCTGTAAAAAAATTTATCTCAAAAAAGTCTTCTAAAATCCTAATCGAATACACCCTCCTAAGCTAAGTTGTTCCCAAAAATCTACACTGACGCACTCGCGCGTGGTTAACCCACCATAAGAAATTTTATATATTAATATGGGAGGGGTTATATATACAACTCAAAAAACTTACAAACTCTTACAACCTTTTAACTACCGTTAGATTAATTTTTTCATCAACGGTTCAAAATACTCCAATATAATACTCCAATCACGTTCTCTCTCTCACGTCTATGCACGTCTGCGAGTCTCTTCCTCTCCTTCTCCCTCTCCCTCTGATCAATCTCCAAAGCTTCTTCTTCCCTCTTCCTCTCTTTGTTATTGGCGTCATTTTGGAGGACCCATCTGTTACAGGTAACCGCTCTTAAATCTATCTAATAAAGAAAAATTGGGCGCAACATACCAGGAACTAAAGTGAATCTATATTTGTGATGGTATTGATTCTCTTTCTAAAGCTATAGAAAAATTTTCAACATCTAACGAGAGTATTGGTATTGGGAACCCTAGTTTAAAGTTCTTTGAGCCTCATTCTGAAGAGCCTTCTATGATGACCTTGAAGGATCCCAACATTACACAAACTAAAGGGAGGAAAAGAAATTCCCAAAACACTTCAAATGGACACAGGATTCATAGTGGGATTGAAGAAGCATCAAAGCATACTACTATTTGTGGAAATTGCAAGAAACGTGGACATAATAAGCGTACATGCAAAGAAATAAATATAGATTCACTTTAGTTCCTGGTATGTTGCGCCCAATTTTTCTTTATTAGATAGATTTAAGAGCGGTTACCTGTAACAGATGGGTCCTCCAAAATGACGCCAATAACTAAGAGAGGAAGAGGGAAGAAGAAGCTTTGGTGATTGATCAGAGGGAGAGGGAGAAGGAGAGGAAGAGACTCGCAGACGTGAGAGAGAGAACGTGATTGGAGTATTATATTGGAGTATTTTGAACCGTTGATGAAAAATTAATCTAACGGTAATTAAAAGGTTGTAAGAGTTTGTAAGTTTTTTGGGTTGTATATATAACCCCTTTTGTTGCTTAAGCATATTCTGCCTTGAAAGAGTAACCGTACGTAAAGGCCCCAAAACGCATGGTTTCGTTCAATCTCTTTTCTTCTTTTCCTTCTCTCTCTTTTGTTGTGCTTCCTTCTGTTCTCTCCATTCTCTGCCTCCTCATATTAATACACACTGAACAACCAAAGAGAGACTCAACACATCACAGAGCTCCCTCCATGAATCTAAATTCGCATTGTGGCGCGTGATTCGCACTCGACGCGTTCCGCTGAAATTCGACTTGCTAAGGGCACCATTACTCTTTCTTTAGAATTTCAATCCACGAAGTTCAAGGTACGAGGACCAACCGCAACCCTGTTTATCCTCATGCAAAGTCAACACAATTGATGACACTTGTTTGATTAGAAATATTTTATTTTATTTTGTTGTTTTTGTAATTTGTTTAGTTTTTGATTTTTCAGGGATTGGTTTTGTTTTTTGTGCATGTGTTGGATTTTCTTTGATTGGTATTCTATGGCCTCTTTCAATGCGTGTTCTGGTTGGTTATGTTGTTGTGAAGCTTCGGCACATTGAATTTAGGGTTTCTTTTTTTAATGGTGCAGAGGAATGTGTGATGGATTCTCCGGAGGGTCAGGGTTTCAGAGGTGTAGAGGAGAGTTTTGGAGTCTTGGAGACTGCTTCTCTGGTTGAATCTGTCACTCATTCATAAGGTTGTTTTTTTGTTTTTACTCTGCCCTTTGGATTTTCAGTTTGATGGATGATGAATGGAATTTGACTGCATTCATGGGAAAATTGTTTTCCCTGATTTGAAAATCTGAGTATGGGTTGGCTGTTTAATTTCATTTTATTAATGCAATTCATTCCTAATGCTGCATATATTTCATTATCTTTTGTTTTTGTTTTGAGTAATTTAGGAATGTGAACACAAGGCTCACATTGTTTTTTGTGGCTTAATTGCACTGTTTGCTGATCCTTTCCCCTCATATAGTTTTTCATGTTCTATGTTCAGATCTTGGTGTTTTAATTTAAGAGAGTGAATACCGAATAGGTTTTCTTTTGAGAAATATTCTGGTAGATGGGACACCATGAAACTGGGTGGTGTTTGCTGATATTTGAAGGACTAATAGCTCTAGGTCATATGTTAACTGAACAATTGAGGTGTTTCTGATATGTGGCTGGAGTATTGCCACTTGTCAGACATATAATATAGGCATGCTAGAAGAGGGATGTGGGTTGCAAAATGTTCAGAAGACTCAATATTAAATTGGAAGTTTAATATAAAGGTGCTTGCTGGTTCATCTCATTGAAAGTAAATAGTAATTACTGACTTTGGATATCTTTTTCGTACTGTCATTGAGTTACTTGTGGTTTTAAGAGATGGCAGAGAATTACCTGATCATGTATTCCATAGACCCCTTGAACCTTATTCTAGGGGGCCAAAAGAAAAATAAATGATAGAGAGAAATAAAGTTTCATATGAAATTTCATTGAAAGTGCTGACTTTCAAAGGCTGTTATTTTCTTGCTCATTTTTCTAATAGCTGAACCACATAATTATTCTGAAATCTGAAGGACTTTTTGGTGATTTAAGGTGAACCATAATAAACAGTTGTGGCTGAGAAATGAAAATAAGAGAAAAGAGGGGTAACAAATTATTGTCCTGTTTTTCAATGCATGCTTATTTCATTAATATGTCAATGCTGTCACCAAAAGTCCAAACTCAACGAAGGGATTTTTCTTTAGACGAGAACTTTAGCAGATATTAGATCTGGTTTTTAGAATACCATTGTGTTTCTGGTGATCAATGTTAAAGATCTGCACCTTGACACAGAAGACTAGTTGATAGGAAAGCTGAGGCAAGGACAGCACTCTGCTTTCCTCGAGGCACATAAAGGGGTTGGAACTACTTACCATGTGGCATGGTGAGATTTAGGATGAAGGAATAGATCTTAATATGTGAGGCCTGCTGTTAGCAAGGCACAAGGCGCTTTAAGGTTGTATCATTTAACAGTAGCGCTCTGATCTTTAGTCTACCTGTCACTATCAACTATACCTACAACTATGCTTACCGACACACAAAACTCATCAATTAAACAGAATACTGAACTGTCTCTATCTCAACTCTGATCATTGTGATTTGTTTCCTTAAGTAGGCGCTGCAGAGATGGCGCCTAGAGCAGAATGCTTTGTCGCGCCATGCTCTCCTATTGCTATACATTCAATGCATGATAGTGATGCACCTAATTGATGCCAATGAAGCTCCTGTCCATGGTGTGATCCTATAAATAACTGATACTTATTACCATATATAGTATATAGAATGTAATTCATTGTTTGCTTGTACTGTATCACTGTATTGTACTCTATCATTATCTTGCACGAACTGGATCCTCTCTCTATTCTGTTAGGAAGTTTGGATTACAGTTATGGTTTTTTAGTATCTGACTTAACAATGAGAGCCCTGCGGCTCTATAAATAGAGCTTGTTGTGTGACAACCTGTTCAAGCGATTCATAATAGCACAATGCAGATTTCTCTCAAACTCTTTTTCTCTCTTTCCATCACTTTCTCTCTGAACTCTGATAATACAGTGCTAGAGAATGGAAGAAGATGCTAATGTGAGTTTGACGAATAAGAAGGAACTCTTTTAGTCCTCCAGAATCTGAGTGATCAATCCCTACTGTTTTTTCATTTGATCTTCCTGCTTCAAACGCCTAAGATATTCCTCAAACTTGTGAGGAGATGACTACTTGGTGCATACTTGGATCTTATTCTAAGTACTCTGTGAATGTCCTGCTTTGTTAGCTACGCTGTTTGATTTGTTTTCTCTACCACCACCAGCAAGATAGTCTCTGATTGAGATTCATGCCTCTTCTGATAGAAAAATGAGAACCCTTACTCTGAAACAATTGTTATTTGCCTGGGTGGATGATAAACCTTATTTTCATTTGAAACATTGTTTGTTTTTTTTTTGGGAGTTTTTTTTTTAAGGGGGGGGGGGGGGGGGGGGGGGGGGGGAAGGGGGAATGCTATGCCATTAAGGGTGTTACTTATCTCTAAGACAGCTGGTGGTTTTTAAATGCTCATGAAGTTTCTTTTTCAGTAGCTTTATTCTGAGATAAAATTAAAATTTGTGTAGTCATTTGGGATGAGGGTGAAATAATGGAGATGGGATGGCAGGGTGGTGATTATCATTTTGTTTTTGGGGGGACAATGGAATCATGGGAAATAAGCAGGTCAAAGATAGTGTTATTTATTTATTTTTTGGCATTCTTTCTTGATAAATTAATTCAAAATCAGAATCTTGGCCATTGGCAGTTTGTTGCTCTTCTATCGAGTGATTTCCTCAATAATTGTGTTTTAATTTTATCGTCACTATTTTTTTTGACTGTAGGGAGAGTTTGTTAGTGTTTTATTTGTTACTTTGATGCTTTACAGGAATATGGCTTTGCAGAAGTATGTTCCTTCTGGTGATGCACCTAATGTGAATATGAAAAATTTGAGGTTTTCCAGAAAGGTTCCTGAGAAAGCTCAGCTTGACATGGCAAATCAGAATCATGACATGGATGTGGATATTGACCTCAAGGAAGTTTATTTTCTCATTATGCACTTTCTTTCTGCTGGGCCATGTCATAAAACTTATTTGCAGTTCTGGAATGAGCTTCTTGAGCATCAACTTTTGCCTAGAAGGTATCATGCTTGGTATTCAAGGAGTGGGGCACACAGTGGAGATGAAGATGATGATGGTCTATCATTCCCTTTAAGTTACAATAAGTTGGTGGAGAGGTATTTATTATGCTTTTTTCCTTTTCTTTGTTTTTGGCCTTAGCCTATTACTGTTGATGAATTTGTGTTCTATTTGTTAAGCTCTGCAAAGTTCATCAGAACTGGTCCATTTTCTCATTCATCTCATTGTTAGTTATATTAACAGTTTATGGTAGTCTGATTGCTACCGATATGCTGTTCTTTTAGGCTGTAACTCGTGAACATATGAATATTCAACAACTATTATGTACCCCTACTCCTTTGTTATATTTTCATTGATGTTGTTATTAATTGTTATACAGGTATCCTCACATTGAAAAGGATCACTTGGTAAAGCTTTTGAAGCAATTATTATTAAATACGGCCTCCCCGTCACTGGGAATGAGTACTGGAAATGCTCCAAATGCCGCTGATGTACCTACTCTTCTGGGAAGGGGTTCATTTTCTCTTCTGAGCTGTATGTGTCATTTTTTTGTGCTTTAATTATTATTGACTTTTAACACCTTGGATTGCTGTGAAAATTCTCATACTAATTTGTGAATTTACTGATTTTCCATTGGTTAAGCTGGATTTTCATACTTTTAACTAATAAAGCTTGCCCTTATTAACTGTGCCTTTAGATGATTCAGATTTTCCTTTCTCTATCTATATTTATTATTGTTTTTCTCTGCTACAGATGACAGGGATAAAATGAATGAAGTCAAACGACCACCTCCTCACCTGCGCTGGCCTCATATGAAAGCCAATCAGGTTCATGGGCTTAATTTAAGGGAAATTGGGGGTGGTTTTCCAAGACACCACCGTGCACCATCTATACGTGCTGCATGCTATGCCATTGCAAAACCTTCTACCATGGTACAGAAGATGCAAAATATCAAGAGGTTAAGAGGACACCGTAATGCTGTCTATTGCGGTAGGTTATTCTATATAATACTAAATACTCTAGCTTTAGTGTAACTTAGTGGTACACCTGTTACCTTGTAGACTCATTATTGGGGAGGGGCCTATTACCTATTTATAATGTTGGTAGCAGTTTTATCTAAAAGATGGTTGATGCAGGTGAGTCCCATATCAGCTGTGAAATGTGTGAGACTGATTTAAAGTAGAGATCCTTCCCTCATAAGAGTGGGCTCTCCTATACATCAGGATTTATCAAAGCCTAGTTTGTCCACCCCTTGGAAGTAGAAAAAAGCTTCACGAGGGCAAAAATTAAGAGGAAAACAAAAAAACCTCTTGAAATTAGTAAAGAGGATTTAAATTCTCTGAAGTATTGTAGGGGTCCTGTTAGTGAGAAACCACCTTACTGTGCCTATCTTTCTAACATTACTATACCTTTACCATATATAAAAGCATTTGGAAAAAATGATAAGTAAGATAAAGTTACCCAAAAACTTATAGGAGGTAATTAAATAAGAAAGAAGTCTTCAATAGTCACTATAATGTAATATATTTAAAATACACTAAAAGAAATTGTCACAATAATGAATTTATCTTACATATCATTTTATTAGTGTATTTTAAATTAAGTACATTATAGTGACTATTCAAGACTTATTTTATAATTACCTCCTATAAGTTTTTGGGTAACTTGATCTTACTTATCATTTTGCCAAATGCTCATATATGGTGAAGGTATTATACATAGAATCCAAATTGAACCAAAGAACTTCAAAAGCAACTGTTTGTCTCTGTTAAGTAATCAACTCTCCCAAAAGTTTAAGTCGTTAGGTGAAAGTAAATGAATGATTTTATATTATACTCCTAACACGCTCCCTCATACAAAGGCCCATTAGACTTGAAGGGTGGATAATATAAAGACCCATTGACTTGTACTAAGAAATTCAACAATATTTATTAGAAGAATTTGTGGGGCGGGGGGAGGGGCAAAGATTGAACTTTGGACCACTTGGTCATTGGGGCTTTGATATGAATGATTTTATTATATCTCTTAACACACCCTCTCATGAGAACTTTTTTGGGTTTCAAAGTGTGGATAATACATAGACCCATTTTTGTTTTCTTTACCTTGTGTTTAAATTCAATATTTTTTTATTAGAAGAATATGGGCAGCAATGATCAAACTCTAGACCACTTGGTCATAGGCTCTGATACCATGTCACACAACCAGTTCCACCAAAAGCTTAAGCTATTGGGTTTCAAACATGGAAATTAAAGGGCGGCAGGAATCGAGCTTTATGTTGTTGGTCATTAGGTGAAGACATATGAATTGTTTTATATTTTATATTATATTTCTGACTATCCCCCAAAATTTCAAAGATTTCACAAGATTCAATAATGTAGCGTAAAATATGGTGTGATTGATGGTGGATGATTTAATACAAAGATGTTTTGTGCAATTGAGTTATAGTGAACTCACAGGGATTGTTGGTTACTGTTCCACCCACTCCTTGTGTTAGACATTTTATGAGCTTTATTTGATCCCTTTTTCTGAATTTTATTTTACTTTGAGAAAACCTCTAGAGGTTCAAAACCCTGGTGCTCTCCACTTGCAACAAATTTGTAGTTTTCCTCTGCATAACCAAAACTGTGGATCATATTTTATTTACCTCAAGTCCATCACTCCATCACATCAGGTTCGCTAAAATATCCTTGTTTTTGTTTCACCAAGTCCGTTTCATTAATGTTTTGTAAATAATCATGAATTGTCCATAGCTCTGTTTTGAAAAGCCAAGAATAGCTTCTACCCTCTCCTTTTCTCCCAAGACATTATATCTCTTTTATTAAAGAGGAAAGGTAGAAATCATAATTAGGGGGAGTATAAAATATTTTAAAAAATAATAACGACAATAAACAACAAGGAACTTTGAAAAATCTAGGCTACAGTAAAGGTGTTCACTGTCCATTCTCTCTGGATATCAGAAATTGCAACTGCTCCCTTGAAACAGCTAGAGCAGAACTACAAAGAGAAGCCATAAGCACAATCCTATAACATGGCTGTTTTGGGGCAAAGGGACACCCTTAAAGGTGCAAGCCTTCTGTTCCAACCAAAAGCACCAGTGAAATGAATAAACTGCAGTGTTAAAAAATTGTGGCCTCTGTCTTTTTACCAAAATCCTTAAAATGAACAATAAACTGCTCTGAATTAACAGGACATGAGAATTTCTTTCTTCCAAATATGTAGGATATTTTTGTGGCTATTAATTACCTTGCTGTTTTCTTGATTTCTTCTGTGTTTTTGGAGGTGGGCTGCTTCTTTGTCATGCAACTGAATTAACTTTTTAACATGTATACTACAGCTATATTTGATCGATCAGGAAGATATGTGATTACTGGTTCCGATGATCGACTTGTAAAAATTTGGTCAATGGAAACTGCATATTGTTTGGCCAGTTGCCGTGGACATGATGTAAGTATGTTTTGTACTGTAAATATGTATTCTGTTTGTATCGTTCTGTATTGCTTTAATATTTGTTGACTGTTAGAAACTGTATGTTATATTTTATAGGGTGACATCACTGACTTGGCTGTGAGTTCAAATAATGCTTTAGTTGCATCCTCCTCAAATGACTGTATCATTCGAGTTGTAAGCTTTTATGTGACTTAGTCAGCAAGTTTTCTTTCTTCCTTCTCCATGGGCTTTTTTTTGGGTACTTTATGTTTGACTATTTGATTTTCATAGTGGCGCTTGCCAGATGGCTTACCAATATCAGTTTTGCGGGGACATACTGGAGCTGTTACAGCCATAGCATTTAGTCCCAGGCCCGGTGCTGTGTACCAGCTTTTATCGTAAGTCTTGTGTTCAATAAAGAAAGAAAAGGAGTTTATAATAGTCTTATGTTTGGCAATGTTTATGCATGGCATGTCAGCAAATGCAATTTCATTCTATTTTACAAATATGCTCAGTAATATTACCTAGCACCAATCTAGTCATGAGGTATATTAAGCTTACTACTGGTAATCAGAACCACCATCCCACATGCAAACCTTCTTGGAACATGAGACATGCAAATATTTAAACTATACCACCCAGCTATCAATATATGCAGTTATGTTTGTAACTTTTTCTCTTTATATTTTGTTTCTACCAAATTCTTGATGATTAATCCATCAGATTTTTCTTTTTGTTTTAGGTCTACAATGTGATTGTTTATGAAACATTAAGGGGCTACTTTCTGTATAAATTCACCAGTTACTTCATTCAGTTTATGAGAGATCATCTATGTCAGTTGGATTGATGCATCAATTCATTAGAATAGCCCTTTGATTTCTTCTTCTTATTGTTGCCTTACTGATGCTTTGTTGTGTGATTATGACACTAAGAAAATTTCCCTTTTAGCTTCAGGCTACATGTTTTTGGTATGAATTTAACCTTCTGGCCAGATTTTCTGTGAATGATCCTTACCCTTAGGCATTCCACGTTTTCTGTTATAAATTAACTTTGTGATGTTTACTTTGCAGTTCCTCTGACGATGGAACTTGTAGGATATGGGATGCAAGGCATACCCAGTCAAGTTCAAGAATATATGTTCCAAGGCCTTCTGATTCTGTAATTGGTTAGTGGATTCTATTGTGAACTATGATTGAGTGACTTCTTGGTGAAAAGAACTAACGTAATACCTTATTGGCTTTAGGGAGGAGCAATGGGCCATCTTCAAGTACTTTGCCACAGAGCCATCAAATTTTTTGCTGTGCATTTAATGCTAATGGAACTGTCTTTGTGACCGGTAGCTCTGACAATCTTGCCAGGGTATATACACACATACATATTTATATTGTGCTTACTTGCATTTAGCAAACATGCATTAATATAATCTGTAGTTTTTATTATTGAAGGTAAATGTAGGTACCATTTTCTTTGTAAAAAATAACCATCTGTTTTTACTTTTTGGCTCTTTTCCCTTGCTTATAATCTTCTGTTGTGTGTTTCTGAGTAGTTACGGTCAGGAAAATAGTAACCTCGCAAGAGACTGAAGATGGATTCTTCTCATCTAAGCAGAAATCTCTTTTTCATCCCGTTCATGCCTTGTATTGGAAATCCATGTCCATGTCCAATCACCATCATCATCTTTTGATTAGTGCTAGTTGATCCCTGGTCACACTTTATTAATTACTTGTTAACTTCTATCAGTTAGTGACAACCGTCTAGGCTTTAACCAGTTTCTGACCACCTGGACATGGTTACTGGCCATTTTTGTTTGGCTATCAAATGCTAATAATACATCCAATCGACTGTTAGATACTTTATGAACCCTAAAACTTACACTGAAAATTGTTTGTGAGGTGTTTGATCCTTTCCAATTTATATGACTATTCAGCTGTAATCAGATATATTGTTTAAATGTTAACATTTAAGTGCATCTTTGGCTCAGCTTATTAAATAGCTTTTGGAAAAATTTATAATCGAAATGTTTAAGAGAGAAATTTTGGTTAACTGTAAAATATCGAAAACCAAACATGCACTAAATTTGTTCAATCGGATTTCCAGTTTCACAATCTTTTAAGCTAACTTAAAAGGTTTTGCAGGTCTGGAATGCTTGTAAACTTAGTGTGAATGATAATGACCAACCAAATCATGAGATAGATGTGCTATCTGGGCATGAAAATGATGTAAATTACGTGCAATTCAGGTTAGTATTTCAGTGTGTTGTAATATTTGATAGATGAAATTTTTGCATGTTGACGACTATTGCTCCTTATTTTGCAGTGGATGTGCAGTAGCGGCTCGATTTTCAACGGCTGAAACTTGGAAGGAGGAAAATATTCCCAAATTTAAGAATTCCTGGTGTGTATGTGTGTTTTTTTATGAATTAGAAGTAGCATCTTGAATGATCTAGTCATCTAACCAATAACCCCTGGCCCTCTCCTTCTCTTTTGTGCTTCCTACAGCATGAAATGTAATATGACCAATTCTCAGTGCTTCTGCTATCTAATATATCTAACTGGCTATATTGTATTCCAGGTTGAATCATGACAACATAGTCACTTGCTCCCGTGATGGGAGTGCTATTATATGGATTCCCAAATCACGCAGGTCACATGTAAGTCTTCATCAAATATAATTTCCTTCTACAGTTGTTTCCTCTTTTTTTTTTTTTTTTTTGAAAGATAATGAATTGTTTTCCTACTTTATTATTTAAATTGTGATCAGTTAATTCAGTTTTTTCACAATGAGTGGTGATTTATATTTTAATTTGTTAAATTTATTTCATTTAGGGAAAAAGTGGTCGCTGGACGCGGGCATATCATTTAAGAGTTCCACCTCCACCTATGCCTCCTCAACCTCAGAGAGGTGGTCCTCGTCAGAGAATTCTACCAACTCCTCGTGGTGTAAATATGATTGTTTGGAGCCTAGATAACCGCTTTGTCCTCGCAGCTATTATGGGTAAGTTGGTTTTGTTTCTCTTTCCTGTCTTGCACCCCGCTTTCCATTCTTTGTTTCTCTATTTTCTTCTTCTTTCTTTCATTTGTCTTGTGACCATATTGTTTCTTTATCTTTATCTATTAAGTTACTTTTGTTTATTAGTAAGTATTAAATTAAAATAGAGGAGGGAGGAAGGGGGGGGGGGGGGGAGGGGAATCTTACTTAAATTTGCTCTTTTGTTTTAAAACTGGCTCCATTATATATAGCTTTCGGGTCTTGAGTTTGGCAAGCACCGCCTAAAACAGCTGTTCAGCACTGAAATTTAAACAGATTCTCTTAATGTATTTAATGAGCAATAGGGATGCATCTGTTTTTAATTTGGTTAGTTTACAAAAAAAGGTTGGAGTAAGTCTATAGAAGAATACTTGGGAGTTTCTGTTATCTAGAACAATGAATGCATTGTCTTAGTATCATAAGAGAACTATCAAGGCCATTGTTTTAGTCTTGATTCTCATTTATACTTGTCAAATATTCTGTCTTGGGCAATAAATTTTTGGCATTTTGAGTAGTCAACTTTAAGATTGTTTTTACTATGCCTTTATGCATGCAATAGGATGATAATATCTGAAAACATTTTATGATTAATTAGTTGTCATGCAATGTATTTGTTATCTTGCCTCTCTTGTACATGTGCCATAATTATGCAGCAGATATTTCATTTGTTTCATGATTTTTAAGGTAATAGACTATTATTTATCTGACTGCAAGATATTCTTGCAGATTGCAGAATTTGTGTTTGGAATGCTTCTGATGGAAGCTTAGTACACTCATTGACTGGACACACTGAATCTGTTAGTGTTTAATTTCTTGGCTTTTGTTTATCTTCTCACTGTGGTACCAATTTTACTATATTTTGTAAATATAATATTGAGGTGTGATTCTATTGATTTTTATGACACTATTTAACTCACAAGCATGACATCTGGTGCTTAGTGTTGTGTTTCTCAGTTTTCATTTCAAAGGTTGTTTCTTGCAGTTTCATTTGATTATTCAAAGAATTGGTCTTTTAGTTTGACTGTTTGACATCTATGATTATGTGTTTCCTAGAGTTCAGATACAAACTGAATCCTCTTTTGCACTGGGAGGGTGCTTGGCATATTTGGAATAGACTTTTTGGAATACTTTATGAGCATTAGGTTTATCCAGCCTCTTCGTAACAAGTTTCAATTATCCATTTTACAGGCTTTGGTAATAGTAAAATGGGAATGAATGTAAGATCTGTTAGAATATCTAGAAAGTATTTGATAATATCTTGATTGTGAATATTTTAGAGTATGTTAGATTATTTCTTAAAAGTGGTTTCAAGAATCTATTATATTTCTTGATATATTTCCTTATTTGATTATAATTAGAAGTCTAGTACTTGTTTATGGTTTAATACTTTGTTTTTTGTAGCACATCATTATACACAGGAGAATATTATTCAAAGTTTTAATTTTCTCTTTTCTTCCTACTCTACCCAAACCTTATAATTTCAACATGGTATTAGAATGGTACCATCCTCTATGACTTGTCCTGACACTATTCTACTTCTGAGCTTTCTAAAATTTGAAAGTCTTTTCTTTGATATAGTCTATTTCATCCTACGAGGGCGAGTCTTGGAGCAGCGGTAAAGTTGCTCCTTGTGATTTGAAGGTCATGGGTTCGAATCTGGGAAATAGTCTCTTTACAAAAATGCTAGGGTAAGGCGGCCTACAATCAACCCTAACCCCTAACCTTGCAAGTCGAGGAGCCTTATGCATTGGGGTTTGGCCTTTTACTCTGTTTCATCCTACCTTAATTTTCAACAACAGTCTTTTCCATCCCCTCCAATGTGAATTTTTCTGGTGGCTGTCAATTCCGCTTGACTCGCCAACCTTTCCTCTCTCCAAATCTTGGTCTCTCCCCTTTTCTCTCTCTTCCTGGATAGTGGGTGAATCTGCCCTTGTCTGTGCAGCTTTTCTCCTCACTGCTGCCATCATAAGCTCCAGTGTGTCCAGATTAGCAAGGGCCTAAAATCATGCTGCTTGCTGGAATCTGACCAGCCTAGCTCTTTCAAATGCATAAGAGCATGTCTGGAGACATTTCCAGCTGTCGTTGCCTCACTGCTTGATCTCTGACCAAGCCCAGCACCCATTGCCTCTGCTTGCCACCTCCAGATGGCTGTTTGGCTCCCTTGCGACTTGGGCAGGGTACTCGTAGAGGAGAACTCTCTGGTCCTGAACTGTAAACATCTTCACTGAATGTTAAAAAAATGGAGATCCATTTAACCTGAAAGTCTAAGCAATTAAGATCTCAATGGTGGTTCATTAAACACGCTTCCTCACGCGAAAGTTTGTTCGGATTGAAAAATGTAATTGTGACTAAAACTAAACTCTATTTCAAGGTGAAATGTCAGTTATAAGAGCAGGGTTAACAAGGATCAAACATTTGAAAACGTGGCTAAAAAGGCTATAATATTATTTAATGAAGTAGTTGCTGCTGTTGAATTTGTAATATTTAAGCAAGAAAGTTTCTACTAGTTCTGAAAGCCATTTTTCCTAAGAGGAATTTGATTGAAGTGATTTTTTATAACCATTAATCTGCATGCTTATTCACTCTTCTGTTGCTTAGTTTTCTGCTTTTCTATCCGATGATATGCCAAGTTTATTCTCTTGGTTTCAAGTGAAGTTCTGAGGGAAAAAAGACTTTATAGTTTTTATGCTTATTTTTGGATCTAGCTTGTTTAACTTGCTTTGTTTTTTGCCCATCTTAGACATATGTTCTGGATGTTCATCCTTTTAACCCACGGATAGCTATGAGTGCTGGATATGATGGAAGAACTATTGTGTGGGATGTGAGTCACCAGTTACTTTTATCCAACTGATTTATAGGCATTCCTCTATCTTCTAAATGACTTTCATATTTTATGGTTTTAGATATGGGAAGGCATGCCTATCCGGATATATGAGATATCACGATTCAAGTTGGTAGATGGAAAGTTTTCTCCGTAAGTACATAATGAGTGAGATAGCTCAGAACTTTATTTTGTACTAAGTTTTTTAGAATATTTGGCTGTTTGTGTATTTTCCAAAAGTTATTCTCATATCATCGTGATCATGTATAATTGTTATTTTCTGGTACTCGACAGAATTGTGTAATCTCTATATATTCACAATGTCATAATTTTGTTCCCTCATAATGTTTACTAGTTTCTTTTGCAACATACATTTCTGATGTGTGTGTTACAAAACTATGTCAAATCTCTTATAGTATTAAATTACTTAAGAGATAATAAATTAGTTTAGTCTTTTGCTGTGGATGTGGCTTTTGTGTGGTCTTGTTAGATCCACTCTACCTATGAACATTTATTATTCTTGAGGAATTTAGTCAAGTCTAAAGTAATTCATAAAGTTGAAATATGATGCTGGAATCACTCTTATGTGGTATTGAATGTTGTTTTCTAGTAAAATCAAATACCCTTGACTAGTGAAGACATCATAATTTGTTGGATGCAAAATATTATAAGTTCAGATTTTCTAAGATATAAAAACACATTGGGTATCTGTAATTTTTTATTTTTTTTTGCAGCCTTAATTTTTTGGTGCATTCGTTTCAAAAATTCATTTGAATACTACCTAAATCAGTTCGTTTCTTTGTTTTATTGAAATGTATTTTTTATGGCATAGGGATGGGACATCAATTATACTTTCGGACGATGTTGGTCAATTATATACATTAACTACGGGTCAAGGTGAGTCCCAGAAAGATGCCAAATATGATCAGGTACATACATGACTGACCCATTATTATTTTCTTTCGTTTGCAACTGTTTTCTCACTAATGTTTTCTGCAAATATTTGATAGTTCTTTCTTGGTGATTATCGACCTCTCATTCAGGACTCCCATGGTAATGTACTTGACCAGGTTAGTTGACTGCTTGCTTGCTTCCCTTTCTTTTCAGTTATGAAGCTCTTAGAACATCTCTTTAGTTTGTGGTGTTGCTGTGCTGCGTACTGGTTTATTAATGTTTTGGGGGGTTGGCTGAGGCCTTTTTTTATATATTTTGAATGGCTTTCTTTGATGTCGTGGGTTTGTTTTGAATGTGCATGTTTTATCTATGGTCATATAACATATGTATTGCCTAATTTTAAGTAATATTACAATTGGGTCAGGAAACTCAGATTGTTCCGTATCGACGGAACCTGCAAGATTTGCTTTGTGATTCAGGTCAATTTGTCTTCTTGGATCTTTTCTTTATATGTATCTATTTTTTTCCCGTACTTCTCATATATTTCTTTCTGCCCTCATTTATTCTTATTTTTTGTTGCTTATACGCTGTCGAATTTCCAGCAATGATTCCATACCCAGAACCTTATCAGAGTGAATTTCAGCAAAGAAGATTAGGAGCATTCGGCCTTGACTGGCGCCCGTCATCACTAAAGCTTGCTGTTGGACCTGACTTCAGTCTGGACCCAGATTATCATATGCTTCCATTGGCTGACTTGGATATGCTCATAGAACCACTGCCAGAGTTTATAGATGCTATCGATTGGGAACCAGAAATCGAAGTGTTTAGTGATGATGCAGATTCAGAATATAATGTCACTGAAGATTGCTCTTCTCGGGGTGAGAAAGAATGTTCAAGCTCCAATGACTCTGGTGATCCAGGGTGCAGCACAGATAACAGTGATGGGGATGACATTCACATGGATAGCATTCGTAGATCAAAAAGGAAAAAACAGAAGACTGAAGTAAGTGTACAGATAGAAATATTGAGTGAATACTCCTTATTATCTTTGTAATAAATTTAAATTATTCCTGTTTTCTTTTCTACAGACTGAGATTATGACTTCTTCTGGAAGACGAGTGAAAAGGAGGAATTTGGATGAGTGTGATGGCAATAGTTTCAGCAGTAGCCGAAGTAGGAAGGGAAAAAGTGGCAAAAAAAAATCAAGGAGGAAATCTTCTAAATCAAAATCTTCCAGACCTCAAAGAGCTGCTGCACGTAATGCTCTGCATTTATTTTCTAAAATTACAGGTACACCAACAGATGGAGAAGAAGATAGTTTGGTTGATGATTTTTCAGATAGTGAATCCACATTGCAAGAGTCTAATATTGACAGTGATGAATCTGGGAAAGCTTTACAAAATGACCAACTGAATTATTCCAAGGGAAAAGAAGTATCATTGTATGAATCAGATGAGATGAAATCTCATGAGTTAACTGAGACTCATGTGAATGGTATGAACAGGAGGAGATTGGTTCTCAAGTTGCCGATTCGTGATTCATCAAAACTTATGCATAACTTTGACGACCAGGCTGAGTTGGTTGGTTCATCATCAAAAGCTGCTCAGGAAGCTAGTGATTTTAATAGTTACAGACCAAGTTCTAAGGATCCTGGGTATTATTCTGGCAGTGAAAGTTACCATACAATTGAAAGAACGAATCAAGTAAAACTAGGCCAGGTAGCAGACCATGTAGACTTACTTGGGAAAATTAGATGGGGGGTGGTTAGGGCTCGTTCTTCTAAATCTCTGAGAGTAGCAGAAGCTATTCCATCAGAAGCAAATCCTGACTCTGTAAAATGTCTTGATCATCTCGATGTAAAAGAAAATATTAGTACTGGGCATGAGAAAGAGGACAGGGACTTTGGCACATCAACCCCTGCTTTGGAAATCCAAAATGATGAGGATAAGGTAGATAGTTTGACAGAAATCAATGAAAAATGTGCTGATACTACCTCACAGCCTTGTAATCCTACTGAGAATGGAGAAGAGCTCACAACTTCCTGCAACTGCAGGGATAAAGATGAATCAATAGTTTCTTCTTGCATGATTCCTCGTGATACTATTCCTGCTTCCATCATCCATAGTCCGGCTGACCAACAAATTGAATCAAATATTGGTTTTCCTTCTGTTGCAACAAAGCTAAGGTCTAAAAGGGGTTCAAGGGGTCCTGAAAATCCATCCAAGCATGAAATAAAATCTTCAGTGCTAAAGAATAGTGCATGTAGCATTAATGCTTATAATAATTTGAACAACGTACAGTCTATGGCAGTGGTTGAGGATGAAAACACTAGAGTAATATCTAATCAGGGAGAAAATGGATCTCAAGAAATTGATGCTCAGGTTAAACGAAATACTACTTCACTTGATTCATTAGAGCCACATTCACATAGAGATAAAATGTATAAAGCTGTTTATAGAAGATCAAGATCACATAAGGCTGTGACTAATTTAGCTGATGGTAGTGGCCTGGGAGAATCAACTTCAAATGGGAGTAACAGTAATTTCAATGCAGCAGTGGACTTTAGTAATGGCACAAATGGGGCTCTTCGTACCAATGGATCCTTAGAGTTGGAACCAACCTGTTGTGACACAAATAATGAGCAGAATGATCTCAAAGTGCAGCAAGGACATGGATATTGTATGGTTAGAAGTCCACAAAATGTTTCCATAAATAGAGGACAACTTACAAAAGAAGAAAGGGGTTCTAGTTCAAAATTGACTGTCGGTTTGAGGTCAACTAGGATCCGGAGGTCTAGTTTTAATATTCGTGAGACTAGTCCTGTAAATAGAAAGAAATCTCTACCATCAGCTACTAAAAGATCATGGTTGGTGTTATCAACACATGAGGAAGGTTGCAGATATATACCACAACAGGGAGATGAAGTTGTATATTTGAGACAGGTTAGACATAAGAGATTATATCTATTGCATCTGATAGTATATTTTTAACTTTTGAACGAGTGTTCTTTTTTTTTTTGGTTTTAATTATAAAGGTTGAATAATGTGTTTACCTATGAAATATCTGTTTTTCAGGGGCACCAGGAGTATATAGATTATAGCCATAAAAGAGAAACAGGACCTTGGATATCACTTAAGGGACATATAGGAGCTGTAGAATATTGTAGAGTTCAAAGCCTTGAGTATTCTCATGTTCCAGGGTCTGGTGATAGCTGCTGCAAAATGACCCTTCAGTTTGTAGATCCTAATTCAAGTGTTGTTGGAAAATCTTTTAAATTAACTCTACCTGAAGTGACTAGTTTCCCAGATTTTCTTGTTGAAAGAACAAGGTTTGATGCTGCTATGCAAAGAAATTGGTCACGCAGGGATAAATGCCGGGTTTGGTGGAAGAATGAGGATGATTCCTATGGTAGTTGGTGGGATGGTCGAATCTTGTGCGTAAAAGCCAAGTCTTCTGAATTTCCGGACAGTCCATGGGAGAGGTATACTGTTCGGTACAAGAGTGACCTCGCAGAAACACATTTGCATAGTCCTTGGGAGCTTTTTGATGCCGATACTCAATGGGAACAGCCTCGTATTGATGATTTGATGAGAAATAAGCTGCTATCCGCTCTTACCAAATCACAGCAGCCAGGCAACACAGTTCAGGTATCAGTCAAAAAATTCCACAGTATAGAGTTTTGTCTTTTGTTTGTGAAGGTGAATGTAAATATTCACTTCTTTGTTATTAATATCCAGGATCGTTATGGGTTACATGAATTGAAGAAATTTTCAAATAAGTCAAAATTTTTAAACAGGTATTTTATCCAGCCTTTTTGAAGCGGAGCTATGTAGTGTATCAACATTTAATTCAACATGTCTGGTAATTTTGCAGGTTTCCTGTTCCTCTGTCTCTTGAATTGATACAGTCAAGGTTGGAGAACAATTACTATCGTAGTTTGGAGGCACTGAAGCACGATGTGACAGTTCTACTGTCTAATGCTACCTCTTTTTTTGAAAAGGATGCAGAGATGTCAGCTAAAATCAAGCGCCTTTCTGAATGGTTAACACGGATATTATCATCTTTATAGTTCTTAGCTTTCTCGGTACATATAAGGCCAAAGCAGCCGAGCTGGTTATTTTCCCGCGTATATTTTTTGTAGATAGATTTTTTAATGTACCTTTTGATCAATTTTTTCTTGTTTACCGAATTAGTTTCTGAGGTTAGAGATAGGAATATCGGGATAAAGTAGCATTTTGCCGTGGAAAATTTCTGCGGCTACATTCATTGTTTGTACAGAGACAACTCATTGATAGCAAATGCGAAATTCACATTCAGAATTTCTGGTCCGGTCTTCTGGTTGGGTTAATCACTACCTCTTCTTTTCAATTTTGATAATTAAAGTTTCTAAACAGAAAAAATTGAATGGCATATAATATAAACATTCAAAGGTGATATTGAGTAGTCATCTTTCAATAATTATCCTATCCTAAAAAGGTCGACTAAAATATCTTAAATTGTAGTTCTTAAATAAAATATGCTTTTGGTAACAATTACCTGATTATAATAAAACGTAATACAGGTCTGGTTGAATTCTGGTGTTTGGGATGTGGGAGAAAAAGAAGGGAACGATTTTCTACGGGCATTTTTTTTTTTTTCAGAATTTTTATTTTGTCTGTATGTTAAAATAAACGCACATTACATGTTTGTAGGGACAACACACACATTGTGCATTTATTTTTTCAACAAAATGTATACTCTCTATTGTGAAGGGCTTCATGAGTGTAGAGATTTATATTTGTATAATTTTTCCTAATCATAAACGAATTCAATCATTTAAATTTCATCTATATTACCTTATATAATTAGTTTAAATTTTATTTAACAGCATATAAAGATATGATTATGTTGCCCTTATAATTGCAGATAAGAATTTTTTGAATATGACATCCAATATATCAATTATATATTATCTCACACTGATCAGTTTCCTTGAAAAAGAAGTACGCTACCAGGTAAGGCAACTTTTTCCTCATGAACTGAGCTGCATTTGTCTCCAACTTTATGCAAAATTATATAATATTTTCTCATAAAGCAGATATATTGGCATCTGAAAATAAAACCCTTTCAGGGATAAATGGCTGGACAGACTATTGCAAAAAAAAAAAAACATCAGTAGGCAATTTAACATAAATAATTGTGGGTCAATCAGTGTCACCCCTTTAGTTAAGAATAATCTAATTAAAATTTTAATAAGAAACTTTTGCAGCAAATATTATCACACCATAGCAAAAAAAAAAAAAAACACATTTTGATTACTAACTCTCCACCCCTCTTTTTTCCTTCAACAAACCAAGAAAACAGTTCCCTCCGTAAAATTTATCAGCACTGACTTGCAGCGATTTGTCCATTAACTACCCTAATCATTTGATCATTAACAGCAGTTAAAAAAGGCAGCACAAATACTTAAGTACTATTGTCTCGGCATTAAACTAGTTTCATATAACAACAAAATTTCTCTGTTCTATCCAATTTGGAAGACAAATATGTTAGACCTCTACAATATTGATCATTGATTTGAGTGAGCACAAATCTCAGTCTCTCCATCGGTATCCACAGTTTGGGTTGCAGCAAACGAAAAAAAGTGTCATTCCTTCTTCCCCTCTTGCTGTTGCCTGCATACATTGAAAAATTCAAATGATCCATAAGTAATTAAAATTGGGTTTCTGAACATGCGATTTGAAGTTTTGCCAAAAAAATGCATTCAAAAGGTAGAGATGAAATGCACATTATAAAATCAATACTATTTCAAAGTGAAGAACATTTCAGATTCAAAAGGTTACATTGCAACTTCTTCCACCTACACAACATATCTACATTACTTTTTGTGGACAGATAGAAATGTTTTATGTTTCATGGTTTAAGTTTAGCATGGACATTTGCAGCTAGCAAGAGCTCCCTCGTTGAAGTGCCTGTCTAGTGTTGGCCTTAAAGGGGGTGGCAATGTTAGGAGTTCCACATTGATTGTATAGGCAACCAATGTGGGACTCGTAACAAAAATCCCCTTTGTTTCTTATTTTGAGGAAAGAGGGCGAACCGGAGCAATGGTAAAGTTGTTCTTTCATGACTAAAAGGTCATGGATTCGAATCCAGGAAACAGTCTCTTTGCAATTATGCAAAGGTAAGGCTGCGTACAAGGAGTACAAGGATTACCTCCACCACACACTCGCTAGTTGGGTTTAACGGAGAGTGGTGGTTTCTTATTTTGAGGAAAGACGGAGAAAGACAAAGCAATTGACCAGAGTACTGCATTTCAGCAATATTTATCCAAAAAAAATAACAGATTTATGCATTGCCATGAACACTACAATGATGGATGCTAGAACTGCCTTACAAGTCAAGCTGAATGAGTCAAATATCTTCAAACTTAATTTTCATTGTAAACTTTAGCTGTGACACCTAAACTAATAAATGCATCATTTCACTTTCACCAAAATAAGACGAGAACAAAAAAAAAGTTCTCAAGCTATATATGATCTATACAACACTCACATGCCTCCTAGTATCTATGCAGTTGTCATGACTCATGACACTTTGTATCCCAGATTCCCAATTCCCAAAACAGTTCACATTGAGATTTTATAACTTAAGCAGCAGACTTTTACACATCATATCTGCACACTTTTACACATTACCAAATTATATCAACATAAAAACATATTCTATAATCTTTGACATTCAGCCGGAGACTTGAGTTAGAGACATTTCATTCACTGTCTAACCCTGAGCATGCTAGTGCTTTCCTTCAAAAAGAAGACATTTTTTGTTGTTCTCCTCCTTCAGAATTCACTTCTTCAAAATTATGTGGGAGGAAGTTGAAAGATGAGGACAAAAAAAGTTCTCAAGCTATGTATGATCTACACAACGACTCACATGCCTCCTAGTATCTATACAATCATGATGACACTTTATAACCCAAAACAATTCACATTGAGTGATAACTTACGCAGCACAATTCATAATATCAGCACGCTTTTACACATTATCAAATTGTCAAGACTTAAACATATTCTATAATCTATATCATTCAGGCTGATACTTGAGTCAGAGACATTTCATTCACTACCTAACCCTTTGAAAAGAAAAGACATTTTTTGTTGTTCTCCTACTGCAATTCACTTCTTCAAAATCACAGGGGAGAAAGTTGAAAGATCAGTACAAATGTTAAACAGTCAAGATTTGTACTTTATCCACAAAATAAAGACACTCATGATTGTCCTCAAATCTTCGTGACTCAACCTCCCCATCTCTCCTTGCACACACCGAAGAAGGGATTGCTCATTAAAAGTGGAATTAGCATTATACTTATAAGCAAAAATAATGAAGCTTGTGGGATGCCTTAACCTTGGCATGGGAAAATATCTCTTATCACAAAACTTCTTAATACCATTAAAAAAAAAAAAAGGGGGCAGCCCGATACCATACAGATCCTGCAAAGCTCGGGTTCAAGGAAGGGTCGAACTCATTGTGTGGATCTATAGTGTGCAATGTTACCTCATGATTACATGAATGACTCACATGGCAAAACACCAACCGTTGTGCCAAGGTTCCCCTTCGTAAAACCAATAAAATAAACTAAAAAACAAAAGCAATCCTTCGGTGCCCTAATTAGTAGGTAAAAAAATAGGGACTTTACCTGGAAAAAGACAGCTTCACCATGGTTGCATTGATTGCAGCGAACAGACTTGGTACGAGGAAGAGTTGGATCAGCAGCTACATCCTGCAACACTTGAGTGCGCTCTCCAACAGAGTGATGTATCTCATTCCTATAGACACAATAGTTATCAGCAACCTCCTGAACAAAACCAACAACAACAACAGTAAACAACCAGTCAAACAAGCATAACCTGGAAATTAAACACTCTCAACAACAATTTACGATACCAAAAGCATTAAGGAATTTCAGTCACTGATTCTTCTAAATTTCAAAACAAAGTCGTTAGCTTTCTTTTGATTTGGGATGTGTAAAGGGAACATGGGAATAGAGAATAACCTGGTGATCGCAGTTGCGGCAAGCGAACAGAAGAACCTTCTGGTCCCTGTCTTCCTTAGGGTACAGAATGTTGTTGCTGAATCACAAATCAATAAATCAAAAAAAAAAAAAGACAGAAAATTCGAAGAGGAAAACGAATTGGGTACGAACCATTCGCGGCAAAACTTCATGGCACTCATCTTGGAAGGAAAGGAAGGGAGAACGATGCTCCCTCTTCGCTTCTTTTGTGGGCTCTCCTTCTTTGCTCTGCAACTTCACTCTCCCTAAATACACATACCTCTGCGTGCCTAGCATATTTATTAATATAAGACGGGTTAAAAAAAATCTATTAGAAAAAACATGCTTTATTTCCACACACAAAAAAAAAAAAAATGCTTTACATTTTTTTTTTCAAAGGCATGGTCTTTAAATTTATTAAACAATTTATATTATATTATTTACTTCAACTAATAAAATAATATTATTTAAGGGTTCGCTTTTTCTGCGGTAACTGCAGATAAGTTATGGCAGTAAGCCACGTCGTTTTGAGGCAGAAATCATGATATTTTTGTAATTTTAATTTATTTAAGGGTTATAATAGTATTTATATTTATAATTTTTTACGATTTCAATACCAAAACGATGTCGTTTTGGGAACAAATGCAAATAACTTATCTGCATTAACTGCAGAAACATTTTACCCATTATTTAATTATCGTTTGCAGTTCTCGATGAGCGTGATAGATTTATTAAGTTAGGGTAAAGCGTGAGTCATTTTAAAGGATATAAAGTTGTGTCTTTTTAAGAGAGAGAAAGAGATAGATAAAGGAGGAGAGAGAGTTGACAAAAAATAATAAAAGTGTGGATCTCACCCCTTTGTGAGAATAAAATGATATAAGTTATGTCATTTAAAAGGATAAACATTTTTTCCATTAAGTTAATATGTTAATCAAATCTTTTATATTTTAAAATAGATAACACATTTAATTTTTTTAAATAGGTAAAATCATGTCCAAAATATTACATATCATAAATAATTATAATTAAATCATTCAAAAAACATCTCAAATCTTATATCTCAAATCAAACTAAAAGTGCTGCATTCATTTTCTTGCCAAACAAATCATAATCATATCTGTTGTTTCATTTGGACTTGGATTTGATCGTAATTTGTTATATTTTAAAATACTGTTTCTTTTAACAACTGGGTCATATTGGGCCACAATTTTGGTTGACTTTGTGCTTCTTGAATCAATGGTTGGGCCATGTCCAATGGGGTAACTGTAAGTGCATCATTTTTTCTTATTAGGAAAAAATTCGTCCTCAAGTCTTCTTCATCTTCATTGATCTCGATCTTTTTAGGTAGAAACTCAAATGATAAATTTTCCTCTATTAGATCTTCATCATTTGATTCTCTATCAGAACAGTTATCATAGATTAGATGATCATATAAACTGAATTTTTATCGTAAATTGAATAATTATCATAAATTGGATAATCATCACAAATTGGATTATCATAGGATAATCATCACAAACAGGATTATAATCATAAACTTCAACGTTAGGAATGTTGAGTTGTATCTCGATATCTTGAAAAGTGAACTGATTTTCAGGTTGTCTTCCCCAAACTCGTCCTTGGTTTACAATCCCAAAGGATTGACGTCCTTCTCTTTATGATCAGATGCACCCTCTAATTCCATTCATTCTTCGGGAATGCTCAACTTTGTTCTTGCAAGTTGCCGCTCCAAATCTTGGATTTTCATACTCTGACCCTCTACAAGTTGTCACTTCAAATTTGGATTTTCTCACCATGCGCCTACACGAGTCGTCGCTCCAAATCTTGAATATTCTTGCTTTGCTTTTACACAAGTAATCGCTCCAAAACTTGGATTTTCTTGTCCATCGCATGATTAAGTTGTCGCTTCAAATCTTGGATCCGCCTTCTAAGTTCTTCATTTTCTATGTCTCGCGGGTCAATATGACGCAGTTGTTTATCTTCTTCAGGAACAAATCCATGTTCCTTACCCTCATGACTTCGTTGTCGTCGACCTTTATGATTCTGTTCAGCCATTGGTTGAAGGTAACCTTATGCTCTAATACCAAATGATGCTGAAAGTGCATATAAACAGTGGCTAAATAGAAAGTTGGAATTTGCAAAAGAGTAACCCTTCTAACTTTCTGTTCAACCACTTTTCTATGCGCGTTCGGGCATTATTTGGTATTAGAGTACTAGGTTGCCTTCAACCAATGATTGAACAAAATAGTGAAGGTCGCCGATGGTTGAGTCATGAAGGCAAGGGATGCGGATTTGTTCCTAAAGAAGATAGACAACTGCATCAGATAGAACCACGTGACAGAAAATGAAGAGCTCAAAAGGCGGATCCAGGATTTGAAGCGACGACTTGAGCAAGCTTTGGACAAGAAAATCCAAGTTTTGGAGCGACTATTTGTGCGGGCGCAGAGCAAGAAAATTCAAGATTTGGAGCGACAACTCGTGCGGTCGCATAGCAAGAAAATCCAAATTTTGAAATGATAACTTATGGAGGCGTAGAGCATGAAAATTCAAGATTTAAAACAGCAACTTGCGCGAACAAAGTTGAGCATTTAATCTAAAGAAGGAATGGAAATAGAGGACACATCTGATGACGAAGAGGAGGACGTCAATCCTTTGGGGATTCTAAACCAAGGACGAAATTATGGAGTACGACCTGAAAATCAATTCACCTTTTAAGATATCGAGATGCAACTCAACATTCCTAACTTTGATGTCTATGATTATAACACAATTTATAATAATTATCTGATTTATGATTATTATTCCATTTAAGATGATTATCTATCTTATGATGAAAACTGATTTATGATGATTATTCCATTTGTGATGATTATCTATCTTATGATGAAAACTCATTTTATGATGATAATCTAGTGTACGATATATCTGATGGAGAATCTAAAGATCTAATAGAAAGAATTATCAATTGAGTTTTTACCTAAAGAGATTGATATCAGTGAAGATGAAGAAGATTCGATGATGAATTTTTTTCGAGCAGGGGAGAATGATACACTTACAGTTGGCCCATTGCACATGGTCCAACCATTGATTCAAGAAGTTCGGAGTCAACCAGAATTGTGGCCCAATAAGTTTGGTCAAATTGTTAAAAAAAGAAGTAATTTTAAAATATAACAAATTGAGATCAAATCCAAGTCCAAATGAAGCAGTAGATATGATTGTGATTTATTTGGCAAGAAAATGAAAGCAACATATTTGGCATGTTTTGAGATCTAAGATTTGGGACACATTTTGAATAATCTAATTATAATTATTTATTTTCTACCAAAATAATTGTAATTATTTATTAATTTTTAGAAGTTAATTAACATTATATATATTTTTAGGAAATTTCCTTATTTTAGGATTTTACGTTTTGACTTTTGAATCGATTTGTAGTTAGTCTACAAAATGGCACTTAAGAGTTAAGACCCTTGTTGTTGGAGTTGAATTTTGTTAATAGAAATTGAGAACCAGAAGGTTACTCTTTTAGTAAATCTCAACTTTCTGTTTAGTCACTTTTTTATGCGTGTTTCGGCATTATAATACTCGAAGAAATTTTTTATTAAGTGCAAGCGAATTTTGGGTTTGGGACTCACATGGTCGGATGTTGGGAATCCATGTGTAAGTGATGAAGTCCCACATTAGTTAGAAATTGACTAAGTGAATATCATACAAGTGGAATGACCCATAAACCTAACGTCTTAAAGTTTTAGATTAAGATGTGATATTGAGTATTGTGGTGGATTGTCGCTTAGGTCAATGATAGTATAGTTCTTCCTTACCATGGGCTCCCTTAATCGCCCAATTGTGATTCCTAATCTAAGCGAAAGGCCATGTAAGTAGAAGAGCCTATAAACCTAGTGTATTTTGTGTTGAGATGTACCCATTGATAATAATTTCCCTCTATCATGAGCTTCTGTGTTTCACCTAATAAAGGAAGTATAATACAAAGTTTTTTTTTACTATATAAGAATCTTTTAAAGTGGCTAAATAACAGTGCATTTATTTTTAATATAATTTAAAGTATATTATAATCTTAACTCACAAGAGGATAAATACAACTGTATTCATTTAATTCTCATATTAAATACAAGGGAAAGTTTTCCTTATTTACTATAAACAATCCCGAAACCATATATATTAATTCCTTCTACCACAGGGGCCAAACCAAATTTGGTTGTTCTCAAATATCATAGCTCCGTTATAATTGCCTAATGTGTATCAACTGTTGTTTATAAAGGACGAGACATTTTGCTGGCCACTAATTCTATAATAAGAAACAATATCAGCATTTGCTGGATTATTAAGGGAACACTCAATTGCCAAACCTGAACTGGGATTAGGCCTCCACCCTGTTACTTTTGTTATTTCACAGGCTCTATAACTGGTGCTCACACACAAATACACATGCAATTCTCTAAATATAGCTCTATTTTATTACTGATTCTGCCAAGCTATATTACAAGAGTTACAGTGTGCTATTTATAAGCAATAGTAAATGATTAAGAGTGATAATGACTAACATAGAAAATCTAAACATATTAATTGTCCACTAACAGATACCTAGGGACACATCTCTTCACCATAAACTTTTCATTTTATATTTTCTTTTATTTAATTTAAAACTTATCCCAACAAAACTCCTCATAAGCTTTAAATTCTTCAACCATCTTTCATCCCAATCTTCTTCTTGAAACTTTCTAACAGCAACGTTGGCAACGACGTCGTAAATATGTCACCCACTTGATCTCGACTTGCAACATAAGTGAGCTCCACCTTTCCTTCCTTGACTTGATCCCGGATGAAATGAATCCTGACATCAAAATGCTTACTCCTCTCATGGTTGACCGAGTTCTTTGCTAACTCGATTGCAGACTTGTTGTCAACCCGGATCTCGGTTGGGCCGACTTGTTCTTGCTCCAATTTACTCAATAGATTCCTCAGCCACATTGCGTGACAAACGCACCAGGATGCAGCAATGTACTTGGCTTCACATGTAGATAGAGTCACAATGGGTTCCTTCTTTGACACCCACGTGGATGCCGTGTTTCCCATGAAAAACACATAGCCAGCCGTGCTCTTCCTGTCATCAACATCTCCACACCAGTTGCTATCTGAATATCCCACCAGCTTGTACTTGTCTGACTTCGAATAATGAAGTTCTTGCGAGATTGTTCCTTTAACATATCTCAATATTCTCTTTGCTGCCTTCCAATGTGTGTAGCCCAGATCTTCCATG